AAAAAAAAAAAAAAAAAGACAGATCTCTTTCTTACAGCCAGAACTGGGAGAAGTTAAACTATTCCAAAACAGTAGGAGAGCAGTGTGAAGAAATGTTGCAGCCCTTGTTGTCATCTTTGTCTTTGTAATGAACTTGTCAAACTCATGTGGAAACAGCAGTAACGTCCTGAAAACTGCTTGGATCAATCAAAGAGCTGCAAAATGCATTTTCACCCTAAATGGAGGAGAGTTGCTGCAGTCAAGTGATATATTGGAAGGAACAGACATATTATTGTGGACCGAGCAGTTTTCATTTTATTGCAATTTATAACTGCAGCTGTGTAAAGTACTTAGTAAGGTAAGGTAATTTTATTTATATAGCACATTTTCAGCAACAAGGCAATTCAAAGTGCTTTACATTAATTAAAAGGGAATACAAACAAAATAAACCAGAGGAAAAACAAAAAGAAGAAAGCGAGCCGAATCCTTTTCTGGGTTAAAAGTTATAGAAACTAAGCAGTGACTGTTCCTGTTTAGTATTTCTGGATTCCAAGTTCGTAGTTATTCCAATTCTGATTCAATTTCTGGGCTGTATAATATTGATCTAAATAGGGCGTACTCCACAATTTCTAATATTACTAATAAACTAAAATAATCCTTTTCTGGGTTAAATAGAAACGGTGGAGTACTCCCTAACAAACTAAAACAAAAAAAGAGTAAATGACACATTAGGGCAAATGGCAACATTCAGACAAAACGATGGGCAAAACAGAGACGCGAGTGAAGGCGGTGACGTCACAGGGCCATGAAACCAGGTGGTAGTAGACAGTGTCAAACTTGTAATAGACAACCGTTTTGTTTTGCATTTTCACCATTGAGGTTTTCAGTTTGTTTCTACTTTGTCAATACATCAAAACTGCAATATATTAGCAGTCAATACGCAGGGTGTAGATGAGCATCATCGCCAAAGAAACTGTAAATGAACAAAAATAATTGCACACCAAATGCTGATCTAAACAAAACTTTAACTGTATCAATATAAACTTCAATTGAATGTGATGACGTACAGAATTTTATTTTATTTTTGCAAACTTGTACTTTTAATTTCATAATCTACAGAAATGCATCTACTTCAAGGGCATATTATTGATTAAAATTGCATTTCCTGACACGGTGTGTAACTAAAAAGCGTGATTTATGTACAAAGACTATTAGTCCTTCTCTTGGCCAATAGAAATACATAAACGCATCGTATTGCAGCAGTTATCTTACAATGTGTGTTTAGTTCATTTAGTATACAGTTTATTTTATGATTCATATTAGTGACCCACCAATATGAAAATACGACAGCAATAAATCCTTGTTATATGACCAAACACATACAGGGCCAGTCCCTTCCCTCTCCCATCCAGAAATAAAAACAAAAACCTAAGCCCATTTTTACTTATGGGAGTAAGTAAAAATGCAATAACATTGGCTTTTTTGTCTTTTAAAAAGAGACAAACATTGGCCAATACCGATACATTGTGGATCCCTACTCTGTCTCACTGTAATGCAAGATGGTGACAGCAACAGAGCTGTGTGGGTTACCATTTAAACAGACACACAAAAACATCACAGCTATACGTCTGCAGTGTCCTTGCCATTGTCGTATTCAGGACATAGTTGAATTTGTGCAGCACAAACTTGGAAATGGAGACACGGCTGGTAGCAAAGTGCGTTTTCAGACTGAAATAAAACCTCTTGACATATAGTGCAGCTGTATCACCTTGATTTCACATATGAAGACCATTTAAAATAAAAGCCCGTTTTGTGCGACTGCTGAATGTTTAATAACTCAGTCAACCTCTCTTTCTGACCTAAAAGTTTTAATACTTTCAGATTCCATGTTTTCCTAAACCTCTTGCAGCTCACGTGTTCGTTCTCTCCCACCTGTTTTCTCCTGCAGCTGCAAGAGATGAAAATAGCATTTGTACAGCAACTTTAAAATATTTTTAAGATGCATGATTAAATGTCAGCCGGATTACCAAAGTTATTGAGATGGCAACAAACAGAGACGGGGCTGAGTGCCAGTGTGCACACATTCACTGCTGAGCAGGTGCTTCAAAGAGATGGAAGATCTCAGGTGAGTTTCTTTGATTTTGCCTTTGCTCCATCCTCTCCTCGGTTACCATTGGCTGGCAGGAAAATAAAACGCATCCCAAACAGATTGATCTTTCTTTTAAAGATGAGGAATATGATGACAAGGATGTGAGCCAACACAGATGGCATTAGATTCAAACGAACATCTAGTCATGTCGTCCTTTTAAGGCAGAGAAAGGTTTAGAATCCGCAAACCTAACTTGTATACTAGCATTTTCAAACTCTTCACAGCTCGCAGTTTAAAGTCTTACATCAGCAAGAGAAAACTGAAAAATGGTGGCAAAGAACATTTGGAGTTGGTGTGTGGACTTTAATTTTTCCTGACTTTTAAAGAGTTGTTCTGTGTGATGTTGTCATGCTGACGAATTAGAGGTGCAGGTGTAATCAATCTAAAGCCTTTTCCAGTTTATGATTTATGCCTTGCTTTGCTGTTATTAGTATGAGGGACTGCAGACTTTCTGCAACTTGAGGACAGCTCAGTCTGAGGGCCAAGTCATTCTAGGAAACAGCAGCTGGTCTAAATGAGCACAGCTTAAATCACCGTTTGCTCTGTTAGTGACTAGAGAGTCGGAGGGCGGTAAGAGACTCTAACCGTGCAATACAGTATTTAAAAACAGAAAAGCTTATTCCTATTGCTGCCAAAATATGTATTATGCTAACAATGTTTACTGTTATTTTGATTTCTTTGCATCTCTAGCTTGTTTATCGCAAAAAAAAAGTCATCCATCCTGCCGAGTTAGGAAAAGCTACGGTAGGTTTCTTTGAGTCAGCTGACTGGCAGTGCACATTGACAGGTTGGGGAGGTGCTGCTCTGCATGACTCCATGCTTTGAACACCTGCAAAAAAATATTGTTACTCTGCCACTCAATAAAATGACATTAAGCAGCAGGAGGACTGTAGTAAAAATATGAACGATTTTGAAATAGCTGTTGAAAAACAAATTCAGCAGATAATGTGGCTCCACAGTTTATTGCAAATGTATTGCTGCAGAATTTGTATGCGCAATATTTATATCACGGAGAAATTGTAAATAATATGAGAGGTTATCATATTCACAAAGAGGGTCAGTCACAAAAGGTCATTGCTAAAGACCCTTAGCTGTTCATAGAATGTTGTCTCCAAATATTTTAATGGGAAATTGAGTGGAAGGAAAACATGCAGACAAAGGAACTGGAATAAATCCAGCTTTGAGAGGATTGTGAAGCAAAATGCATTCAAAAGTTTAAGGCAGATTCATAACGCCATCACCTGACGTTGTTCAGTTCAACAACTTCTCTTCATGTCAAAGTAAATTTCGTATTTCCCAGAGTCTGGAGGAAAAGTAGTGAGGCAGAGAATCCAAGTTGCTTGAGGTCATTTTCATAGCTTTGAGAGTCAGTGATGACTTGGGGACCCATGGCATCTGCTGGTGCTTGCTGCCAGTCACCATAAAGATGTGTTTGGTCATTTAGAGGACGTTCCCATCCCGGGTACCAGTGACAAATTACTAAGGCGTGAGTGGATTCATCATACAGAAACATTGCAATGTGTCCAGATAACAAAAACTCCTAACCTCAGTTTTGTTAATCAAGTTCATGCTCATTAATTTTTATTATTCATTTATTTACATAACATTAAAATTCCAGTTGCTTCCACAGCATGTTGGCTTTGCATTGTGCATTTATGTAAACTAATTTATAGCCTCCTGTTTTTTTGTTTTTGTAGATATTTAATATTTTTGGTATAATACTCAGACTTTACTGATTCTAAAAAAAATCTATTTTAACCTAAGTAATGAGAGCAGTTTGGCCTTGTTGTAATTATTCTGTTCAGCTTTTGTGCACAGTCCAATTACTGAATGAATTGGCCAGTGCACAAAAGCCTCGTTAGACTCAAATTCATGTCATTAATAGCCTTTAATACCCAGTTTGACTTGCGCTGCTTTTCAAATGCTTCTGTAAAGGAAAATGTGTGTCTATACGGTTCCAGGAAACGCATTTAATTCAAAGAAAAGCAGAATAATAGACAGTACGGCTAGTCGATTTCGAAAGTGTTTTCAGTGATCATTTGAAAAAGATGGTAATTTTCACCTTCAAGTATATTTTTACATTCTTGGAAAAATATTTACATTCCTTTTCAAGCAACTAAATAGTGTTACGAATGTTTGTGATAGAAAATAAAATGAAGAATTGTGTTTCCCTTCTTCTTGTGTTGGCCGTCTCCCCTCGTTGAGACTGCGATCACTTTGCAGATGGTCACCCCCGAGCTGAGCCCGTCTGTCTCTCTCTCTCTCTCTCTGTGTGTGTGTGTGGATGTGTGTACAGCTTGAAAATGAAAATCATCAGTATTCCTCTCACTCCGGAGGAATTAGCTGCCAGAACAGTGCTTTTTCTGTCAACTTTGATCCCAGCTCTCCTCTCCGGACCAGTAAGGTAGACAACAAACTGCACTCCTGATAGCTCGTTAATGGAGCGATGAGGGGCTCGCAGCCTCAGGCAGAGTTCGGTGGGGATCACATGCACAAGGGGAGAGAAGGAGCGTAGCACATAGCTCAACCTTTCACACTTTCCCAATGTTTTCTCACTGCTTTAATCAATTCCTGTCTGCTATAGAGAAAAACTAATAAATTAGCTCGCCCTTCGGCTGTGAAATTAATATAGTGGTCAAATCCAGTTGTTGTAGTAACCAGTAGATGCCTGAGTCTACAATATGGTGTTTGAGATAATGATAGTGGTGACTAATGGTTCCTGTCACAGACTTTTTTTTTTTCTTCAAAAGCCCGGCAATCGACTTTGAAATGCCACAGAGCATTAATCTTTGATATTTAAGAATCTTAATTTTAATTTAACAGGATATTAACAGATGACATTAAGCTTTAATGACACCAAACATCAACTCACCTCAGATCCTCGGACGTCGGCGCCTGGATCAGCGGAGTCTCCACCGAGTGTCCAAACACGGCACCTTCGGAACCTGCCGATGAAATTCAATCAGAAAATTTGACTGTTTTTGTAGAGCTTAGCTTTGCTTTACCAGGTGTAGGCCTTTCAAAAGCTGACTATATTGTTTAGACCATCACCTTTCAATTTTATTATGTTGAACTGAATACAGAGCATAAACTTGGAGGCAACTAAAATTGGATCTCTGTCCCATATTCCTGTTGTGTAAATGAAGTCACAGAGGGTGGAGAGTGTTCTGGTTCCAAATCTGAAATCTGTGGGATTTGCACTTTGCTCTATGTTTCTATTTAATGCTGTAAAAAATTTATATTTTGCAGTATTTTACAGCAACTGGTTCAATGACATCGCAACCATCAGAAATCGATCTTATTGTAGAAACAGAAGATGCCATTGTTTCTGATATCAAACTACTAGTAAATGCATGGATGACAGGACAAAAACTATAATTTGTAGTGGCAAATTGTCTCTCTAAAGTGCAGGATGTAGTAAGATTCAACAGAGGCATGTTGTCAGTGACATAATGACTTTGCACCATTCTGCACAACAAATGAATCTGTGTAAAGAACAAGTCCTTGCACTGTGATGCAAGATGCCTAAAATATCTTTGTGCATATACCAAAACAGTTTTCAAATTTACATTTAAAGTAGCTGTAAATTGTCGTCAACTAGTTTATCAGGTTTGAGAATTTTGAAGAACGAATCGTGTCTAAAATATCTAATTTCTACTCAAAGAATCCAATTATTCTTTCTAAATTCAAAGAAAGTGCATAATTGTGTCTCGTTTGAAATTCAGGTGAGACTGCTTTAAAGTTTACCTGTGACGGTAAACTTTTCTGTTGTCATTGTGACTTCTTCCTCATCTGCAGAGAACAGGAGTCTGCCACCATCACTGCTTCGCACCTCCAGCCTCTGACACTGAGCCTCCACACCCTCAGGACCTACACACAGAAAAATTAACATTTTAACTCTGGGTGATAGAAAACTACACTTTTATTTGTATGTGTAGTTTCTGCCACACCTAAACTGTACTTCAACGGTAAAGTTTGTAGTTTGAACAATTTCTTTTACATTAATTAAATTTTTTAAACTTTTTAAAACCTGTTCCAGCAAGACAATGGTCCAAAAAAAGTACATCAAAACTTGTTTTGAAATGATTAAACAGAATATGAAACTCCAAAGCACTGATCCCAACCTCATTGAAATGTAATTTTTACTTAAAAGCAGAATAAGCAGAGAAATGCAATCACTGAAAAGGATTTTGTACAACAAGAATTCTGAAATATGTAGCCACAATAAATCCAAAAGCTTGATAAACTGTGTAGCTGGGGTGAAACTCACCAAGGAACATTTTAATCAAATAAATTGGTAGAAAAATGCATACATTTGGAGCTGTATCTATAGTTACTGTGACATTCATGTTCATAATAAGAACAGAAGGTGATGGACTATATAGTTTTACAATGATTACACAAATCAGTACATAACTCTGCTCATATCACCTTGTCTCCTGTTCTTCAGAGTTTTACATTCTTCCAGATGTGGATGAATACATTTCTAATGGCTACATTGTTGTACCATCGACTGACTGGCCTTCAGAGGGGGAAAAAAAATGGCTCTGATTTTTAAAGAAAGGTCAAGCTTGACCACAATGTGTCATATCAACAGTCTTATCAGATTAGCATCAACGTTCTACTTATGTTGACAAAGATCAATAGCTATTAATGTTAAGAAGCAGGTCATTTGTTCTCCAGTGGTCATTAATCACAGTAATTGGTAATTTGGTCATTTGGGCTGACTGATGGTTGAACTTAATGGTAAGATGAATCTACTGCCCTTTCATTAAGTGGCTTAGGGGTTATTATTTGTAAAGAAAAAAGAGAATAATGCAACAAACTGAAAGGGAGACTTCGGATTAAAAATACTAATAAGAAATGGACACCAAGAAATCTGTTTAACCTCAATCTGAAACTTGAACAGCAAATCGGTTTTTTTTAATCAGTGAAAACATAATTATTAATCGCTTTCAGATCATGCAGAACACAATATTTGGTGAGGAAGCATTTACTGTCGCTGGGAGTCAATAAGTCAACTCTTTCATTACCAATGAGGCGTTTAAAAATGAAGTCACAGAAGCACAGAGCTCCAAGAAGCTCTTTAGAAAGGAAACTGCGATTTTCTACAACGTGTAGACACATATCGGAGGTTCCTTCAGATTGAGTACACTATAGTTGGCCTGTTTTATCATTTTCAGCTTTCAAACTGTCCTACAACAAACTCAATTTCAACATGTTTCCAACCTTTTCTTAAATCTCAAAGTTAAGGTAATAATCTACATTTTATGGGAGATGCAGACAAAAGTGCTGATTCTGTAGAACCAGACACATAAACCAAGATAGTCATCAATATAAGGTACAAAATAAAAATAAAAATGTCAACACCATAATCCTGCTCTTTTTAGCTGCATTAAAGCTTTACAAAAATTGGATAGAAGAAATGGCCACAAAATTCTGATCAATACTTTTCTTTTTAAAATGCATCCATATTCAATACATTAGGATACATCTTCTGACAAGGCTCATTTTTCAGATTAAAGGTACATTTAAACAGGAGTAATGCATACTCTTCATCAAGACCACATTTATGGATTAAAAAAATCAGTTTTATCATCTTAATCTAAGAAGTTTAATATTAGGTTTTCATTAGCTACATAAAAAAAAAAATCACGAACAAAAAAATGAATTAGTAATGGGTTTCAGTTGGTGAATCGAGTTACTGAAATAAATGGACATTTTAACATCAATTCTAATTCATTGAACACGACTATGTTAATATTCAGTCAGGCACTGCTGGAATAATAATTAGCTGAAACTGGGAACTCACCCACTGTAAGCTGACCGGTCAACTGGCCTTGGTGGTTTCTGGCATTCAGCGTTACATTCTTTTCTGACCGCAAGACCAACAATCTGTCCTGGATGGGCATAAAATGGAGACACCACACATTATAAAATGAGCGTTTAAAGTCATTTTAAGTGTACGATAAAAACATCTCACCCTCAGACTCTTAGATTTTGAGGTCTCAAGACAAAAAGAAGTTGGTGGGGGAGCCAAAGATGTGACAAGTGTAGGCGTCTACGTCTTTTAACTAAAGACTCTTAAGATGCAAACCTGTTCTGCTGCCTGGCAGCTTTGTATTTAGTAATTTTCTGGCTTTTTGACATTTGAATGATGGCACATTTCTGTGTCACTGTGTGAATACTGATCAGCCTCAGAGTCCAGGCAGCTATTTTATCTCAGACATTTCTGCAAAAAAGCAGCTCACAGTGCAGGGAATAATTTCAGGTTGTGAGATTTTGTTTTGCAAAATTGTCCTTTTTAGCCACTTTTATAGATCGCCAGTGTGCATGAAATGGAGAATAAGACGGCAAAAATTATTATTTACATTTTAATTTGGTATTCATGTATTCATGTTAGTGAAACTGAAGGTGTGTAACCATATTTGTGTACGCTAAAAGATGCGCAATAATTAGAAATATCATTGCAGTCTGCTCTTTTGTTAATCATTCGAGAGTTGGTGGATGGATATGCTTAACTTAGCAAAATTGTTTAAATGTCTCTTGTCTGAAAAGACCGTTTCATAGAAAGTCAAAATCTTTGATACCATTGAGATTTGATGATGTTGTCAAGACAAAAATTGATTTATGTAAAAAACCGACAGATCTGAAAGCTCATTGACAGAGCGACTAATTTTAATCTGGTTTCCAAACAACATGTGAAGGTTATTCTATCGATTTTCAAGCATCTGCAGGCAGCAAAGCAAACAGCAACGCAAAAGCCTGTCACAGTATCATAAAAAAAAATGCTACAATTTCACCACAGAGACTAGACAGAGAGTCTACTGCAACAGGGCATATAAACTACGGTGGCAAAGAGAAAATGGAACAAATCGGTTGGAAACTCCTCAGCAAGTGTACAAAAATATTTTTCACAGCATAAAGCTTAAATTGGAAAAGCAGCACTCGATTCAGATTTCATTCAAGGCGTCTCACATTGATGGATTCCAACCAGAGGCTAAAACAAGTTGTGATAAGGAAATGGTCATTTTCAGAAATTAAACTGGTAGGAGTCTAATCTACTTATATTCCTGTTTATTTGTCTTTAGTGTTCCTTTATATATTGAATAAACTCACACAGTTCCAAAGCTTATACTTTCAATTTGATGGAGGCCTTTCATCCTAAACAGTGCAGTAGGTTTTGTTTTTAAAAAAAAGACTGAAAAAACCAAGTTATAAATGACATCCACTTATTATGACAATGAAAAGCCTTTGTTTTTATTATGAAAGGGAACAAACATGAAAATGGGGATTTTAATTTATCATGCAATTAATTAATGTACCGCTTATTGTGACAGGTCTGATTAATACCAATACATTCATTAAGATAGTTAAAATAAAATCTATATATTTAATCTGATTTTGAAGCACAAACTTATAAAGATGTGTTCAACTTACTTGTAGTTCTTACTGGAGAGTGTTTCTTTTTGCACTTTTCTATTCTTTAAGAAGTTATTTCTTTATTTCTATAAATGTGATTTAGGCTAAAGCGAGAAATTTTACATATTGTAACTGAAAGCTCAAAACAAAAGGAAATGCACTGACCTATGGCATAAATTAGCATAAAGAAAATATGTTTGTGTATTTGAAACTCTGCTCAGCTTTCTGACGATAAGACTTATTCTGACTTTAGAGGAAGCGTGGAGGGACTTTAAAACATGGGCATCCTTGCAATTTGACAAAAATTCACCTCTTTATCCCCGGATTTACAGTTCCAGATATTGCTACCTGATGCTATGCGAGGTGTGAGGAAAAGTTTAGCAAATGCTAATGTTATATGGCAACCCTAAAGGTTCATCTAATGGTGTCCGAGGGGTGCTAATTATTGCCTCAAGTGTGCTCTTATCTCAGCTTTATGCTGCATAAAACTTCGCAAAGGTCATCTGGTTCATGTTTATCATCTGCTTGCTTCTTTAATAAAAAAATAAATTGCAAGATTCGATACAAACAACTTTACCAAGGGAGTGCAGCATCATAAAGAAATTAGCATTCTTGATTTATGGTGCTCCTTTAAAGAGTTTATAGGCCTTAAAGCGATTTCCCCCAGGGGCTTTGTTGGAGAGGTTCTTGCTCTTCCAAACTCTAAGATCACATAAAAGCATCTTCAGTCACCGTTTCTGTTCCAGAAGGTCAACTTGGGATCAAAGAGAAAGCACATAAATGGAGAGAGTGTAGGTGCACAGCGACTGAATCGGACTGAAAATTTACTTGAGCAAAGGATGCTTCCCCGCATATAAACAACAACATCTCAGACAAAAGCAAAAATGTGGCACGCCACTTCAAGAAGTCAGTTTAAAGGAAAGCAGTTGCATGAGACGCCGCTAATTCAGACAGCGAGCATTAAATTAAACGCAGAGATTCAAAGGGGAGAAAGATTGCCACTCAGGATTTAGCAGCATTAATTTGTGCAGAAATTCATTTGTATTTTAATCATTTTCTGTCAAAACAAAAACATTTCCTATTTTTACAAGGATTGTTTACATTTTAATTTCTTCATTTAAATCACTTTAGTACCCAGGATGCTTAATAGGTTTGCACACACACAGTGGGTAAAATAAATATTCAACATGTCAACAGTTTACAAGTTTCTTATGAGGTAGCTGAAACACACTTCAAAGCAGAAGTGCGTTTAATAGTTTGCAGAAAAAGCATTTTTGTGGTGATTACATCAAAACCTCTCGTTTATGAAGAAACCTAAATGCTGAACTTATGTTTAATTCTGTCTCGTTCTTCCACACAAACTGTCTTCGACTCTGAAAGGTTTTGAAGGTAATTTCTCTGCAATCTTAAGTCGTTTCCATAGATTTTATTCAGTTGGATACAAGGTGACCTGGCTTTTACAGCCATGTTTCATGATGAAAGATGTTTCCAAAGTGATGTCTTTGGGATTTAACATCACTCAGATCCTTATAAAGAACGTCCCAGTACATTTCTCCGTATAGCGTCTGCCAGTACCATATGCTGTAGCATGAGGTTTCACCTGTTAGCATTGTGTTTGTAGGCTAATGATTCTTCCTTCACACAGACCAAACGACATTCTCCCAGTATTTCTAGAGCTTGTCCAAAGCTGCTACAGCAAACTTTATACAACTAAACATGCTTCATCTTCAGCAGTGGAGACCTGCACAGTGATTTTGGCCATTACAGTAGAGTGCATTACTTTCACCTGTCATTTCTAGGTTTTGTTTTTTTTTATGCTCTATGCGAGTGCACTCTTTCACTCCTGTACAGCTCGTTTGATTATTCTTCTGAATCCTGTCAGAAATCCAACAAGCGGCACAAAGTCACAGCCATTTTATAGTGAAATTTTCTTCCTTTTGGAATATGTTTCCAATACCACTCACTGGAACATTAAGAAGTTTAGAAATGAAGCACTATTTGTAATGACAAGCCTTTATGTAGGCCATTAGTTTTTATTAAATAAGCCGATATATAAACATGCTGTTCTTATTTTTTTCTTTAATTATGTAAAGCACCTTGAAATGCCTTGCTGCTGAAATGTGCTATACAAATAAAATTTGATTGATTGGATGGGAATTTTATGACAATGACCCCATTAAAATTATTCAAACCGAGACGAGCGTTGGTGTGTTCAATACTTATGTCACTCACTTTCTCTGCAGCTGAATATGAAACTCTTCCTTGCAGTGAAACGTAACAGTGTTAGCCAGCTCAAACTGAATCCAGAATGACGGCTTTTCAGCTTTGAGACTTTAACAAGTCCGTATTTTAAACTGTCTTTTCCAGCAGGAAAATTAGGAATACAGCTCACCATCTTCTCTGGCAGCCGTCGAGCAAGGCGAGAACGACTGAAGTAGAAAAGGTTAATACCTTTGCAGGGAACCTGCAGCTGTTCACAGCTCAGGCAAACTCTAGAGACATTAATAAGAGCTAGCAACTTGATCTATTTGGGCAAAGTGTTGCCTCATTTTACCATTTTTAAAAATAATCTGGTTTTAATGCAATGAAGTTATTTATAAACTCACCTGCATTTTAAATTGTAATTAAAGTTTGTTGGAGAAGGGGCTGAATATTAAAATATGTTTTTATTTCAGGCAATGAACATAAAAATCAAACCTAAAAACAGAAATATTTTATATGTGCATAGTGAATAAAACTGCAAAGTTAAAATATTAAAGTGCCTGGATCTCTGCAGCTGCCTTCCTAATAAAAGTTTTTAAAAATACATAAAATCTCCTGACTGGAGAAATTCAAGCAGAAGTATTTAATAGTAACATGGCACCAAGTACTTAATAAGTACAGAACATTCTGTTTTTCCCCTTTAGCTTCAACTAGAAGGGTTTATAAGGTGCAGCTCCATTAAAAGTTTAAACTTTATAGACTTTCAATTTAGCATAAATTGCGCTATGACTGAAATTTATACACCTGTTAACTAAAACTAGAATGGCAATGAACACAAACCCTCACCACTCTGCAGAATAGTGTTTTTCAAAGAAGTATTTCATATTTTGTCACATCCTAATCAAACATTGATGCATGTTCTTGGGGTTTAACATGATAGACCAACACAAAGTGGTGCATCATCATTCAGAGATTTTCCATATGCTACTTCACTCTCGTTTTTCATATTCTTTAAAGAGTTTTTGAAGTTTTCTCCACCTTGTTTTGTTCTGTCACATAAAATCCTAATAAAATTCATTAAAGTTTGTGGTTGTAATGTGAAAAACCTCAAGTGTTAATACCTTTGCAGGGCACTCCATCATAAAAGCTCTTGAAATCTCATTTTCTTTGTGAAATGCTTTTGCATAGACTGAAACAAAGGGAAAACTACTTGCGCCGAGATTGGTAACTAAATCTAGTCAACTAAGACTTGTCTCCTTTTCTCTTTGCTCTCAAATGTTGAAGGAAAAATTAGTTGGGTAGCTTCAAGAATGGTTTCTTACTTGGTTTGTTTTTGGGTATTTAACAGATCTTAAAATTTCAAATCGGAAAGCTTCATTTGTTCTTTGGTACTTAACTTCATTTAGAAGTCATAAAAACCTCTTCAAACATGATAGAAAAACACAGGCTTTCAGAGATGATGTCATTTCCTGTTTTGTTCATCTTCATGTTGATGCACTACTAAGATTTTGTATTTCAGTTTTTGGAAATACTTAAAAATTTAAGTAAACTAAACAATTAAAATGTAAGACAACATAATGTCTTAAAAAGTGTTGTGAGAGGACAGTTTAAAAATTTAACTAATTAAAACATTTTATGTTCAGAAATAATTAGAACGCCACATTTATTCTCACCTAAAAGAAAAACAAAAAGCCAAAATTACACACAGGTGTACCAAGACAATATTTGCTGTAAGCCAAACAGCATTCTAAGAAAAGAAAAAAGCTAATTCATGCAAATCTAAGCATGAAGGAGGAAATGTCATGATCTGGGGATATTTTACGGCAGCAGAACTTTAACAGCTCAAAAATCTGGAGGCTGCAGCTTGGTATTTTACATTTCTCTTACACTGCACGGCTATGTTCCCTGCCGCTTTTGCTATTGGTTTCCCATTTCAAGGATGATTACTACAGTAAAACAAATCAGGGAATTGATCTCTTCGGTGTGATTGACCCGAGTTACTCATCGAGTTTCTTGTGCAAATGCCTGCCGGTGGAAGATAAGAGGGCAACGTTTGTAAAAGAAGACAGTAAAAATGCCCGCAGGTTGTTCAACAGGAGTAGACCACTGGGACTGCCCTCCAAACGGTAGGTGGAGGCTGCGCTCTCATCCGTTACTAAAAATATAAATGAGCAAGTCATTTGACTCAAACTGGCATAATCTAACTCATTTCTAACTCTGCTGTGGCAAATTGGACCCACGACTGAGCAACTTCCCCAATCGACGTTCCTAAAATTCAAATTAGCAGGGAAGCCCCTGCTTCCAGAGCTTGAAATTGCTTGCAGCGCCATGCCTAATCACTGAAAAGGAGGATGATCCAACAGAGAGTCTGATTTGCGTGGGAGCAGGAAATGTGGATCAACTTTTATGTGGAAACTGAGCTGGATATTCTTACTAAGCATCAAAGAAGGAAAAAAAAAAAGGGGGAGTAGGAACTGGAAGCAAAAGAATTTACTGCAGGGGCTTGATTGGAAATCCAGTAAGCAGCTTCATGTCAACCCCCCATTCTATAGTTCCTATAATGTCCTGGTGATGGGAGGAGGGGGCGTCTGCTGGAGGACGGCAGGATATGAGTGGACAAAGGTGAGGAGAATGTCTCCAACATAAGCCAACTTCAAAGGGCTACTTGATTTGGCCTTTGCTGATCATGGATTGATTGAAATTCATCCACTCCGAAACTCCAAATGATCAATGCCCGTCTTCTGCTTCGGGAAAAGCCTTTTCATGTTCGTTTCAGAGACACGATTAAAGAGATCTTCACCTTGGTGAGCAACAACGGCTACTTACCCTTCTGGACTGGATCTCGCTCACATACAGAGGCATCTGGAACTCGCCGACTCCCTCCAGGTGAAGGCCGTCCTGGTTCAGCTGCAGTTCGCCCATCCCGTCCTGAAACAACAATCAGTGACACTGGGATGGGCTGTGCTGATTGTACCGTTTTTGATTCAAACAATCACAGCTTTGTAGAAAGCAACTGCATTATGATCGAGAACGAACCAAGTGACACATTTTCATATTTTTAAAGCTTGACGCAAACATTTTCATGTTTTATTGTTGGCAGCTGTAGTAGTGATAACATTAATCCATAAACGTACAAGTGTTTAGCATAGCTGAAATCTGACCATTATTTTCTATTTTAAAAGAAAGATCAGGTAGTTGAGGTTGAAAATGTTAATTTTGAGAAGAAACTCTTCTTGTTGCACTCTCAATGCAACCAATGTAAAAATTGTTGCACTGTGAGGAAGAACAGCGATGTTTTTAGCAGGTTCAAGTATTTTTCTCGGGTTTAGCCTCTAACTCCTGGATCATCTTCAAACATGTCAACCAATTTTCTGTCATTTGAGGGTAATGGACCAAGTCTTCTTCCAGAACTTTGATTGGTGACACAATCAAATACAAACCCAAGTACAGTTGTTTGAACTGATGTTTAATTCTGGCTTCAAAATACTTCCAACTAAATCTCCATATCTCTTCCTTAAACCCTGCACGTCACTCCTATCATAGTGTATGATGGAAGATGTCCCACTTGTTACAGCAGCAGGATGTCAATCAGATTTTTCAGTGCAACTATGACTGGACAGTCTGTTTTGGGTTTTAATACGCTTATTAAAGTTAGACTGAAAAGCGGCAGATGATGATGAGGTAACGGAGAGCAGCAGAACTGCTCGTTAGGCAAAAGAAGACAATAACCAGAAATCTGCCACATTCAGACTGCAAACTTTCTGTCGTCATCCTTGATTGAGGCCTTAATTAGAAGTGTGAATGTTGGTCAATCCAGAAACTCCTGTCAAATATTTTTAATCCTGGGAAAGAAAGCAGCAGCAGTCTCCATGTTCAAGAGGTTTCCAGGTCTCATCTCAGGAAAGACGTTTTAGAATATTTAGAACCACCTTAATGGGCATTTTTCACGTCCTTAAATGATGTCAATTTTCTCCAGTTCTGCTCAAATTCGCCAATTTTGATTCACAGGCAAAAGGTCACAGTCTATAGATATTCTCGCAGTCTGGTTTTCTAGTTAGCACGGCTCATTAAGACTCAGTGTTCTCAGTTAACACGAACAGGAATGGGTTTTTTTGATTATTATTATTTTGAGGCCTAATTTAACAGCTGTCATTAAACTCATTTCAGTTTCGCTCACATTTTCAGATAAAATTCAAACAGATAAGCAAGAGTCTTTACACATGCAGCAACCGGATACTAGCATTACAGAAAGATAGTGGTGTAAAATGTTTCCCTTAATCCTGATTTCCTAATTTTTTTCCCCCACACATTTGAAAAAATGAAACCAATGTAAAAATTAAACACCCCAAGTAACCAAAAAAACCAAAAAAAAAAAAAAATGTATTTTTGGTTACTTGTGTTGTCTTTGATTAATTTTTACATTGGTTTCATTTTATTCTTAAAGGCGTTTATTAAGAGAGAAAAAAATTGAAACTTACAATTTTGACTCACTCATCTTAGCAGAATTGTTCCAGTTCAGCCACATTGGAAAGTTTTCAACCATGAACAGCCTTTTTAAGTTTACGCCACAGCATTGCAACAGGATTCAGATCAGAACTCTGATTAGGTCACTCAACTTGTTTTTCTGCTGCTATTAAGAAGTAGACATGCTATTGTGTTTTGGATCATTGTCCTGCTGCAGAATCCAAGTTAATTTCAGCTTGAGGTCTCGGACAGATGGCCGGACATTCTTCTTCAGGATTTTTAGTAGAGGACAGAAATCATGGTTCCATTCATCACAGCAAGACTTCCAGGTTCTGAACCAGTAAACCAACCCCAGACCCTCATATTTTTCTGAAATGCAGTTACTTTTTTCACCAGAGGTAATGGGACACATTCTAGAGAGTTTAACTTTTGTCTCGCCAGTTTAAAGACCGTTTTCTTAAACGTAGTGGGGATCGTCAAGAAGAGTTCTGGGAACATTGAGACGAGTCTTAATGTTTTTTTTTTGTTCCTCTGCAGTGGTTTTCATCCTGGAACCCTGCCATGCAGGCCATTTTTGCCCAGTCTTTTTTTTTAAGGTTTATAGACTGATAGAGTTTAATGACTTTCTTTCGCATTCATTCCAGAATTTGTTTGGATGTCAGAATGATGCCAAGCTTTAGAAGCTTTTGGCGTATTTCACTTTATCAGGCAGGTCCTACGACTGAGAACAGGTGTGGGAGTAATCAGGCCTGAAAGTGAACTCAGGTGTGATAAATCATGTTTTAACATTCAACCCATCACTCCTTTACACAGGTCAGTGCAAGTTTGGATTATTTTCCTCCCTTAATGACAAACATTTAAAAACTGCATTTTGCATTTATTCATGTCATCTTTGACTAACATTTGAATTGGCTTGATGTGCTGAAACACTAAAGTGTGACAAGCATGCAAAAAAATAAAAAAAATAAGGAAGGGGGCAAACATTTTTCACACCACTGTATACACAAAACCCATCCATAAAAGTTGCAAATTTTCAGCAACCCAGCTGTTCAGCTTATTCTGACAGATGAGGCAGACTTTTTCCTGTTCAGCTGAAAGGTTTACAAATAAATTGGCTCCATGCTGTTTTTTTTTAAACATCCAGTCAAAAGGGAAATAAAGCTGCAAAAATAGCAGAAGATAAATGTTACTTTTACATCACGTCAATTCAGGAAATTATTTTGGTCACAGATAATTCAGCTGAAATTGGACAAGATTACGTCCAGCCCCAGCACAATAAGCAAAGTGTTGAGAGGACAGCTTTTGTGAGGTTGTGTATGATGAGATTGGCCCTGAGGGATGTGCTGAAAGGGTACACAGAGCTGTCAGCAGAAATGGATAGAGACAGAAGAATATAGAAGCAGAGCAACAGCAGGGAGAGCTTTATCATATATGAGAGCAGGGAGTGAGGACAGACAGCAGAGCAGAAATCAAAGGAGTGCAGGAGGAGGGTTTGGGTCTTTGTATGTCAGCAGACAGATGCTAAAGTCACTGGAGAAGGGGAGGTGAAGCACTGGATGTGAATGATGCTCCATAGGCAGCATGGGAGTGAAAATAGGACATTGCTCAGAGAGGCGTTACAAAAGAAAAGAAATCTTTAAATTGTCAGGTTGAGAACAAAACTCTACCACACTCAAATGGACATTGTGGACTTTAAGAAATATGAATAAAACTGAATGTTTAAGAGACCGTTCCCAATTCATTTAGATTTAAGAAAAGAACAGATGGTAAATATTCATTTGAGTGCAGCCCTGGTTAGAAGTTTACAGGCTTTTATCATCATCACATAGGACTGTGATTTTAATTTTAAACATTAAATATTTTGAGGATTTTTAGAGTAGGACTGTACAACAATCAACCAATAAAACATTTATTGTGGATTTTCTCTCGTTCAAACATGTCAAAAGGGTAACGGCGCTTCAGAATATAACTTACCCCTTCAAACAATTTTTAAAATCAAATCTTTTATAAAATGCCAAAAATAACCAGAGGAAAAAAGAAAACTGGAGTTTTTAAATTTTTTTTGTTGTCGAGTGAAAAACATATTTAGGGCAACATGTCAGCATGTTGAAAAGTAATTGCTGGCTGTGCCGCCCCGAGAAGCAACAACTGCAGTCAAGCTTTTGTGATAATTGGCAATGAATTCATTATAACGCTGGAAAACAATGTTTCATTCCCACTACAATGTGAAATGCCCCAAATTAAAAAGAAATTCCTGTTCATAATCAAGAGTACATTCATCTCACCTTAATGTCCTTTGAGATAATTTTTATTATCAATTCATAAAGACAAAATTAATAAATGACAAGATGCAAGAATGAAACACGGGCTGCTCAAACTCTACAACACCTAAAAGAAGGAATTTGTTTTTTAATTTCTACCTTTATGGCATTAGGCCCACAGGGATCTGAAATGTTCACTGAAAAGGTATTTTCCTGTGCCATCAATCTCATGGCACAGATTGATGGCAATAGCAGAGGCAGTAGCATTGGTCAGGAAAAGTCCCTGCTGCCGTTGGGACATTGTTGACAAAATGGTTAATAGTGTGCATTGTCCCTGAAAATGTCACTGGAGCCCAGAGGAGCTGCTGGTTTTGGTTTCGTCTCAGATTAACAGTCTCCGTGTCAGCAGGTCCAGCTGCCAAGTGTTTTCAGCCCTTTATAAAACGAAGTTTGGCCAAAACCCAAAACATAATATGCAATGTTTAGAAACCTTTTTTAATGTGCTTTTAAAAATGCAGTTTCCCCACCTGGACTTTGTGATGAGGTTAAAGTGAGGAAGGAAACTGATATTTATTAATATACTTGGCACAAAGTATAACTTGTGTTTGGATATAATGGGAAAAAAAAATATATCCTCCTTAGAATTAACATTTCAGAATAATATGACCAATGTGACTGAGAGCTAGTATTAAAAACTCAAACTCTTGAGCACAGCACATCAAAAGTTAATTCAACGAGTGTCAGTTTACATCTTCACTGAAAAAACAAAACAGGTGAGCCAACTAAATGATCAAATCAAGTTTATCCAAGTTGATACATCAAGTTGACAGGTTAAAAGTTAAGTTTGACAAATTTAATTACATGTAACATTTCAACTTTTTTTTTTTTTTACATTGAAGCTCCATTCTCTTTTTTTAGTGTCATGTCTCAATTATGTTTTTTAAACTGTCCAAATGACGCCACTAGGACTGATTCACCCCTAAATATAATCACTGTAATAATTTTTAACACATATATTTTTTAAAAACTTAATCTTGATAATTACGTTGAATTTTATACAGTAGTAGATTATTGTGCCCAGGTGCAACAAAACTTACTTCTTAAATCTCCCACTGCAAGAAATCTTGTTCATCTCCTGTATTATGGAGCCAGATGTGGAAGAAAGGCATTTATTGGTTGAGCAGCAGAGTTGAATGTGTGGTTTCCCTTATGAAAGATTTCTCCTCCACTAGTGTCACATAACTTTAGGTGGAATCTCCCTCACTGTAAAAACAAAAGATCCTCATCATTGAAGTCAACCTCGATGCAGAAGATGCCTGTCTGAGCTTCTGCAACCTGCGGTAATGCCACTCCTGAAGAGTGCCGTTAATTAGGATATTTAACTGAAGAAAGACATATCTACAACTTAAACTTCAATCATCTAATTCAATGACGTTAGAGTCTATAATAATATAAGGTGTTGAGAATATTTAGGCAGTGTTTTCATGAACACAACCCAGATACTGACCTCTGGTGCTCAACCAAAAAATGTTTCTCTCCAAATGTCACACAGTTTAAGGGGCAATAAACTGGCTTTCCTGCTTTGTAATATTTATTGTTAATAACACAAATGTCCTTTGTGAAAAGCATACCAGCAACATTACTTAAAAAAAAAAAAAAATAGGTAATCACTGTGGAAAATTTGCTCATGAGGACAAATGGAAGGAAGACATTTGCAAGATATGTAAATATGTACATTAATGTAGGCATGATGGTAGTTAAAATGGCATTCACATTAACCACCATGACATTTTCCAGAATGTAGTTGCATTTGGTTCTGCTTTAACTAGTCGCTGGCTGCAAAACAGAAAAGTAAAATTCCGACAACTGAAAACTTCAACAGAACTCCTATGTAAAAAGAAACTCAATGCCGTCTGTGAGAAACGTTTGAAAATTACCCAATCAAAGCAAAAACTTTTCTCCAAAGGACATGCTGAACTCACCGTTGAAAAATTCATGACCTTAATAATCCAGACAGTGAGGGCCAGGTTTACTATCATGGTGACCAGGAGCAGCAGCAGGAAGAAATAGAGGCATCTCTTCCTCCAGCCGTACAGCCCCACTGGATATACGGCTTCACAGCCCGGACGCTGGAGGTGCAGGGACTGCGAGGCCAGGATAAACTGCTCCTGGGTAATCTAGAAAAGAAACACGCAGAGTAGCCTTTTGTTAGGTGGCTGTCAAGTACATGGTCACTCCTTGCAAAGGCAATCACATGTTGCAAGTGGTCATTACCTTCAAGCACCACCAAATTGGCTCCACACTGAGGAATGGCTGTTATTTTTTAAGTGGTGACACATCATAAAAAATAAAACGCACCAAAAAAAGTGAGGCCTGATTGTTAGCTGGTGGCTGCTGTAGCCTGAAATTTCATTAAATGGCTTCTGAGCTGTAACAAGCGACAGAATGAGAAATGTTTTTATTTTCATGGTAATCGGATTAGATTGGCACCTAAAAGGGAAACAAATCAAATGTTATAAAAGGAGAACCATTTTAGAAGAAAAGCTGCATCGTTTGTCAAAATTATTGATTACATGCACACTGAAGGGAATAAATTATTATTTTTTGATACAATTTTGCAATCAAAACTACATATTAATAAAGCACAATTAGTACAAGTCATAAAAGTCTGACCTTTGTATGAAGTTTGGCCACCATAAAAGAGGTCATTTGTATGGATTTAATAACCTGTCACAGCTTTGTTTTCTATGCTAATTGCTTGTTGACATTTTAACGTCTCAGTGCTTAAATAGCAAACAACACGTTACTCTGAATGACAGCTTCCTGCAGCTCACTTGTTTACTTCTCCACTCATGTTGAAATGTTTAGAAAGTTCCTGCCAATCAATGTCTCATGGGAAAATCTTTCAGTGGTAGAGTGGTAAGCTGGCTTTGTGAAGCTGATTGTTACCACTGGGAATGAGTACAGGTGGGAGATTCCTCGAAGACAGGCATCACATCAGAAGGTTCACAACAAATAATTGGCCAGTTTCTGATAACACACAAAAATCTAAAGTTTCAAAATAAGTTTTCAAAATGCTTTTAAATTTCGTACAATTTAAAGTCCTAGTGCAATGCTACAGGAAGCACTCGAGAAGGGCAGCTCCGTCCCTCCCCCACTCTTTGCTGGACACTGCTTTTCAGCTGGCTGAAAGAACTGCAGGCTTTCTACCTGAGCAGGTAGCAAATGATGAGCTTTTTATACTAAAGAGGTTTCTCTCTAAAAACTACAATGAAACTGCTGCTGTTAAATTTTACCCCATCTGCTGTAAGTATTTAGTCATTTATATTAAAGCTACTGTGGCATTACACCATTTGAAGGTTTTACTAGGGACCAAATCAGGATTCCTCAAATCCAGACCTTGGGAGACAATGTCCTGCAACTTTTAGATGTTTCTGCTTCAACACACTCGAGTTAAATAATGAGGTCATTGGAGATAAGAGGACATGACTGCATTCTGAGGAGGAGATTCATTTGATCATTTTGGACCAGGGACAAACTTGTAGATTTGTCCCTGGGAAGACACTCAAAGGGAAATTTGAGGATCCCTGGACTAAATTATTTAAGTTGTTGGCAGTATCTAATGTTAACACACGTAGCTTAAATTAAACATTGCAGTTTCCAGCCAAACCTCTGGCTCACAGAGCGTCCTTTCATCTTCCCCACTCAGCTCCTCCAGACTAGCGGCAGCAGCACTTAGCAAAGTGCTAAGTGCTGCTTACTCTCGTTGAACTGCGAGTCTACTGAGCTAATCATGAGCTACTTCTAGCCCATTGCTCTCGGTTTTAAATGGCATAATGACAAGCGCTGATGTGATGGAGAGTCAAATGGATCAGAAGCTTCTTAAAGACACAGGAGGTCCATTTCAAGGTATCAAATTGTGAAGTTTGTTTCTTTTACGTTTGATATATTGAGAGATTTAACTAAAAGGAGTTCCTTTCTTGTGCTATAAAACATTATGTACCTGGAAAATACAGAAACACCAACCAAAAAGCTGCCAACATTTCCAAATTCAAACATTAACTTCACTTGGTTCAGTCTTCCTGGTATCTGCCGAAATTGTCACTTTTGTCCCAGTGATATGCAAACATGCAATTAGGTCTTTATACACATTTTTGTCAAAATACTTTGATACTGTTGTATCAGAATAACTTCCCAGCATGTGCCCATATCAAAGATTAATGCCATTTTTCCTACATTAATCAAAACAATTCATACTGACCAATGAAAAACTGAAATGCCTGCAGACCACAGAAAAAAAAACGCTACAATAAAGCCAAGCTTTGAGATCACAGAAAGCGATGTCAATCAGAGTGAACCTTCTTAGGCAGAGACGAACAGTTGTTCTCTAGCAGATTGTGACCGTAGGCTGACTGTGTGAAAATCCTAATCACAGGGTGCAAGGTTGGTTGAGCTCTGAACTCTTCCACGCAGCTGTTGAAAGGATGAAAATTGGCCCCTTTTTAACTCTTTTCACAGAGAAGCTAAAAGAATCAGTATTTTAAAATCAGGGCAAAATGTCCAGCAGCAACTGAATGCTACTCATACACCCACAGGAGCTGAGATTAATCCATCATGCTGGTGAAAAATATTTTGATTGCTGACACACACATCTATAATTGACACACCTGTGCACAGCTTTTTCCCCTCCCGGATACCCTGGACACACAATTCATGCATAATTTCAAAGTCATGGCCCACATGCTTTTTTCACACTCAGCACGTCATTAGCATAAGACACTAATGGCTGGTATCATTAAATAGTAGGTTTTTTCTCTCAGGCAGTCATTAGTTGCCTCTCCAACTCCGCAAGCTGTCAATTCCCCCCCCCAAAGAAAGTCCAAGTTTATTAACAGAGATTCTTTAAGAATCAAGAGTTAATGTTTTATTTGCTGTAGTCCTCAGTCCATGTGAGGCTTGGATGCAATAAACCATCTGTTTTAGAAGTGAAAAACAAACAGCAGCCTCTGGAAGTATTGTTGCAACAAATCAATATATCTTGTGGGGGTGAGCAGTTGATGAATTTTAGTCATTATAAAACCAGAAACACAGAGAGGCTGATTTTGGAAAAAAATTGTGCAGGCAGTGCGTGGTGTAGTGGTTAAAGGTGGATGCCAGAAATAGGCAAACAGCCCTTGGGCTGCCCATCGTTTCATAGAAACAGATGCATTTTGACAAGTGTAAGATTCTTCACTATTCTGACCAACCAAGTGTGTTTCAATATAGAAGTAATAAAAAGAGAAAGGCAACATCTACTTAACACTGTCTCTGGGACACCAAGTTTAGTTAATGTTGTTGAAATGGATTTTTTTTTTCAATATATAAATTTCCAGAAGCTTTAAGATCTACAACAAAAAAAGAAAAACTGCATATAATCCTTAGCTTGTGTGTATTAATGGTACATTTGATCAGCAAAATAGGGTCAACCAATCCCAGTAGAATAAATCCCACTTCATTTTTAGCTTTTTTTAAAAGAAAAATAAAGTCACTGAACCAAAAATGCTCTGAAGTATTTCAGTGTTGCTGTATGCCAATGGGGAAAAAAGAAAAGGCGTTTGATAATTATTACCCTGTTTTCACTACATGCGTTTATTACCCGACACAAAACAGGAGGTTGAAATTTAACCACAAATATTTCACCCCTGATCAAACTCAGAAGACCGTCATAAACCTGTAGCCACTATGAACTTTAAGGGGCAACACAGGCTGTGGAATGAGTGTGTCATATCGCAAAGGAAAGACAGCTGCTGCCACAGCATGAGTCTGCAGGGAAAAAAAAAAATATCATCTTCTAGTGTCTGAAGAAATAAGGTGATCAGCAGAACCTAATGCAGATGTTAACATTTTAAGGATGGCACACAACACCGTTACTCGAACTTGAAGCAGTGAGTGTACTTGGACAACCTACCGCCATGAGAACTGCGATGCAGCACAAATCGGTTGGGTATCCCCTTGGGTGCATTTATTGTGGAATTTGATGCAGTAAGAGGTTTGACCGACTTGTGCACACCAAATGTGCAAAGTCTGTAGTTTTTAGCATGATGCATTAACACTTACTGCCTCATACTGACTTTATTGCAGTAGTTCACCAAGAGGTCAAACTCAGCACAACTTTCCTAGCGGCTTTGAAACAAGTTTTACATACTGTTGCTTGTACATATTTGTTTCTTCTGAGTGTTTTCTTGGCACAAATTTTAATTTCTACATTTGCAAAGAACCTGGCAATATTGTTTAATCTACCTTATTCCCAGCTGGCTAATTTTGATCCAACAATTCTGAGTTACCATGGGCTTCTTGACTGATTCAAGTAAAGCCCTTACTTGGCCTGTTAGCACTAGTTTGTCCAAAATGAAAAGGAAACCTGCTAAGACGAGGCTTGCTAAACTATGACATGTTCCAAGTTTCTAGTATAGCTTTATAAACTAATCCAAATTTAAACTCCTCTATAACTTTTTCCCTGCCGTGTTCCTTGGTCTTCGTGATGCTGATCATTCACAAATATTCTTCAACAAACCTGGAGGTCTTCAGACCAGCTGCATTTTCTAGAAGATTAAATTACAAACGGATGAACTCCGTTTAAAAATAAAGGTGACTTCTAAAAGGCATTTAATTGCATTTGATTTAATTTTGGTGCAGTGCGAAAGGTTGAATGCATATACGCACAATACAAGATTTATATATATATATAGCTGGACACACCAAACAAACCTATTCCACAGGCTTCATTCACTCTCTAAGAGGCCGTTTCTATGGATGAACACTTTCGGTCACATTTGGAAGTGGTGGCAGATGTCTCACAAATCGACGTTGCGATTTGGCAGCAAGTACAAATGATCCACATCACTGGCCTAGAAATGTCAGCGAGTCCAATTTAACCAGTGTTACAGTGAAGGGACAGGAGTATTATCAGAGGCACTAACACAAAGTCGCAAGGTTTAGCATCACAAAAGTCATGTTTTGCAGCCACAGTTCTTTGTAGGTGGAGTGTTGCTAAGAGTATCAGACAATTTCCAAACTTAAACATAATCTACAACATATTTAATGTGGATCTGATGCATATAGCTTTAAATCAATATTTTCGTCAGTTGACCAGCTGCTTAGATTCACTCACTGCATTGTTGCCAGGGGAAACTCAATCACTTGCAAATTTTGACAACCCACCATGCTTTGTGCAAGTGGAGTCTGTGATTTCTTACTCAGACTTTTAATGTATACATCAATCTGCCTCCAAAACGTTAGCTTTTCTTGATTCAATTATCTGTTATGAACCATCAGATACTTCATTATGTCAGACATTGCAGTCTATCCAGCAAGTGTAAGAGGTTTTCTACCCAAATGGTACTTACATTATGGTTGAGAAGTGCACCATATTTAAAGCATTAGTTTCCTTTACGTTTGAAGTGTAATATGCTAGACAGGTAATTATATTATACTTTGGATGTGAAGAAAATGCAATGCAAGCAAGCTGGACCAGTTAAAGTTCAGCTCAACAACAGTTGGGCACTTTAAGTTGGCAGCTACGATACAAATATCTGGAGGAATACACACACTGCATCATTTCTCTTTATGAAATCTTATGTAAAATCATTCACCACTTCAACAAAGCATCTAAAAAACATTTAAAGTTGTTAATCTATCTCATCAATAAGTCTTCTGTGACTTTACCAAGCCATGAGGAGCATAGCTGTAAAGCAGCAGGACCGACAATGGGCTTGCCTCATGGAGGTGACGTCGCTCCATCTCCACTCATTTCCTATGAACGTGTGTGATGAGGCCACATTCACTTGCCCTCGTCCAGCCAAGCTACTGGCAAAATTTGTGTGTGAAATTTTGAGCTGGTACACGTAGCTATACAAACACAGGCTAGTGAAACACAAGAAAGTTAAACTGTTCAACATTTGTCGCCACCACTACTACCGCCATCACGTCCCGTGTGTTGGTTCATCTCAAATGGTGGACAGTTTTTACTTTTCGTCATAGTATTCTTTGCAACGGACTGCTAAATTATGCTTGAAGTTTATGCAAGTCTTTTGTGTCAAAATAAGGAAGGTTAAAAATTTACTTGTAATCAGGCAGGAGCCAGGGAGTTATCCAGTCACCCTGTAAAGTCATTGGCTGTTTCCATGAGCCTCCAATGGCAACTGGACAGTATGTTTAAGTTATAATCTTGTCTAATATTCATACTGCACATTAGACACACTTTGTTGTAGGTTTTTATACATTTAATACTTTTCTTTTTTAGTATATTTGTATGAACCTATACATGTCTCATTGCTGCCGATACATCTGAATTGCCCCACTGTGGGACACTGAAGAATATATTTATTCTAATAACTGGTGATATTAACACAAAGATCAAAAGATTCATCTCAGGCAAGAAAAAAAAGCAATACTATAGAATAAGGAAATGGGTGTATAAAAAGCCATTTTACTGCACCCATTTTTAAATGTGGCATTTACCATCTTCACATCTGAAAATGTGCAAGTTTGCTATTGTTTAAACAGTTACAGCAGCTTTTGTATAACACAATTGCTGAAATAACTCTGCAGCTCCCAAAAAATATGCACACCATCATGAACAGATGGGTCAGAATCCACACAGATGATTTACCATCCACAGTCCTTGTTACACACGCTTTCTATTATTAGAAACCAAACACCTACACAGCAGCATGCTACTTTGAGGTGGAATAAGCCATAACATCTCTGCAGGTGATGCTGTGAAAGCATCCACATGGACTTGCTGCACAATCCAATCTTCGAAAACTGCCTCATTAATCCTATTCATGATTGAGCATTCCCATTTTGCTTCAGGGAAAGATTGTCAAGAGTTTTGACAATAAAAACTTGCACCTGCAACCAGCTAAAGCCACCGATGAGCCAGCAATTACCCAGCAGTCCCGTCACGCTGCCAGTGCACCTCATCTTCACCAATTATTGTCGAGGATGATGGTCCGCATGCCGCTTTGATCAAGCGATGACATACTGCAGAGGCAGCAGAATACAGCCAAGAAGACAAATAATGAAAGGAAATTAGGACGTTATTAATGTTTGATGATGTTAATCAGCAAAAAGGCCCACTTGCTCTCATGCGGCAGCGCCGCTGGACTCCCACAAGGCTGTCTCAGCTGGAGGCAAGAAAACATTTGAAGTGCACAAATGATTATGCACAACAAATGGACAATCATCCTCAAGATCTGCCAAAAAGGAAGTTGTTTGTTTAGAAATTCTGGTTGGGTTTTTAAAATTTTTTGACAGACTAATCAAAGCTACCCGATTGCAACCAACTGGAAGAGCCAATTACGTTGCTCAGTGCGCAACTCGTGCATCAATGTTACTTTTTTTCACATCTTGTTGATGTGACAAGCATGCTTGGAGAGGTTACCACTGTCAATACTCATCCATCTTACATGCGAAATCCAATTTTTCTCTTCCCCCCCCCTTTCCTTTTTCCCTCAGGCTCCTTCATCTCTGCTGGCGCGACAATCACTGAAGTTTGTCACAATGGCTTCATCGTTTGGCAGGCAGTGCCCTTTCTGGGTGGATGGCTGATTGATGGATAGAGGGACAGAAAGATGGCCGTCTGTGCACTTCTTTTGAGTCAAAGCAAGTTGGACCAGCAGAGATGAGTGATGTCCAATAAGTCCAGCACAACAAAAAGGTCGCAGCAGAAGGCCTGAAACCAATAAGACTGAACATCAGAAAGGTTTTTCCATCCAGACAGAACAATACTTCTGGCTTTTAAGAATAAGTCTCTGCACACACAAAAAGTCTGTTCTGTGCACCTCTGTGTATTAAAGTCAAGAGCTGTTAAGTCTCAGACACTTACAGCACTGACAGTTCCCTCTAGTGTGATGATTGCATAGGGGAGGAGAGACAAACTGCTGATGTAAACAGACAAACACTTTCCCACAGTAAACTCCTACTGCTCACTAATCCCCTTGGAAATCCTCAGGGAGGCCTGCAGGGCCACTTTTGGACAGCACGCACAGGGGTCATTTGCATTCATTGGCCAAATTCACAGCGGATGTGTAATACTGAACGCTGCATTGTCAAGGAAAGTAATGCAAGAGAGCCCTGTATTTTTTTTATTTCGGATGGGAATATTAAGTCCAACTTTTTTTTTTTTTTTTTTTTTTATTTCTTAAGTCATCTTCCTAGAGTCTAACAAGCCGCATGGTTCATAAAACAAGACGGGAGAGAAACTTGCAGACTTGTAGGCAAAGTGTTGGATCAGCTCTGGGCTGGTTTTTATCTGGGGTGATTTCCTGACTGATAAGCGTGAACCAGTGAGCCCAGAGCTGAGTGAGTGTGTGTCTGTGTGTGCTAGCTGGACCTGAGAGCTCAGTCAAACAGAGGCTCTGCTGTGTGGATTTTACACACAAGATATCTCTTTTCTTATTATTTTCCCTCCCTTTTCTTTGCACTGCAGCAGCATGGAGGATGGGATGCACATACTGTACCCAGAGGTTACTGCCTCCCCTCACTAGAGTGGAATGATAATGAGAAAGCATGCAGGCGGAATATTCATAGGCTGTCACATTACTGCGATTCTTGAAGAGGGGAGTGCATACACTATGGGGTGTGCTGCAAGAGAGAGATATGTGAGGAAGTCCAGGTAGGCTCCCTGAAATGTTTGGCCAGGCACCTTGATTACTATTAATTTTATTCCTGCCTGGAGGGAAGAGATGCAGACAATTGCTATTCATCTTTAATCAGATTAAAACTAAAATAATAATAATAAAAAAAAAGGTCCTGGCCGTACTGAAACAGAAGGTGCACCTGTTGCAAAAGACTAGTGAAAAACTGGAGTTTGTAACTCAAAGAAGTACATAAAATAAGGGATATAAGCATTACGGATATATTTAGAAATGAAAAGAAAATTTGCATACAATTTGAAAATTATGCTAAAGCAGTGACTTTGTAATTATGTGTAAATAAATGCAACAGATGAGTGTTATAAACAAAATGTATTCAAGTGAAAAAATGGCCATTTATCTTAAGACTTAGTAAAAAATAAATAAATCTTTGGAACATTTATTTTCAGTAAAAAAAATTTTTAAAAAATCCCACACACGTTTAAATAAAACACTAAGCTTTAACACCTTACCTTGAGGTTCTCTATATTGAGGGTTGCCGACTGCTCCATTTTCCGTCCTCATCTGTTTGTTACATATTTCCACAAAGTTGTTACAAACGAGATTTCAGTCCCGCCTCGCTCCCAAACAGCTGAGGAGAGCTCCGTTGTCTTACAGTAAGAGCTGTTTTCATTCTCAACTACGCGTCAGCCGCCAATTAAAGGTGGCTCGTTAATGGCTATCAGTGTTTAACGAGCTGCAGGTGTGCAGATTCAGGTGCTCACCTCGGTTATCCACTTTCCAGTCATTCTCTCCTCTTCAAAAACTCAGCCGCCAGTAAGCGTGACGTAATCACGCACAGCGTTTCCTCCACGGGATTTCAAAATAATCATCTAACGTGAGCTACATTTAACTAACTCGATCTAAAAACCACAAGGGTACCTAATTTTAGACCTGTTGCTATTCTTCTACAAAATAAATGCTTAAAATGTCTTTAAAATACATTTTGTGTGATTTACACCCATGAACATGAATACTGAACCATCAAAAAATAATGTAATACTTTTTTTTTTTTTTTTAGCTCAGGGAAAATGTTCACATACACTCCGGCATTCCTGGTTGTGGATTCTGCCTTAACTTTTCAAGGATTTATTTGGAGGAGTGATTGTAGAGCAAACATCTAGGGTTTTTTTAAGACAACTTGATGCATAACTTTGTATTTATTTTACAGTGTTAAAAATGCATACATACAAGCTCGAGTGTATACAAATTCTCCCACTAACAATTGGTTAATTGTGTCTTAGAACGTTTTATCTCATTTGTAACCATCATCAAGCTTCTTCCATTATTCTGTCTTAATATTTGATCACTTTATGGCAAGATTATTAGAGTTCATTTAAAATGTCTGGTTTTCTTTGCACAGATCTGACTTCTGAGAAGGTCCTTCCAACACCTCGTTCCTGCTTCATTCGAACTAAGCACACTTTTGATGACGGGGCTGTTGATGCATGCCCGCTTTTTAATCATCCAACTGTTTATTTCAGGTCAAGTTGAAGAAATTGAAAGTAGTTTTTCTTCTTCATTATTCCTTCCACTTTGTGCAATGGACCAACACAACTGACAGCCAGAAAACACCCAAAGCATAATGCTACCACCATGATGCTTGACAACTGGTGTTCTTGTCAATGTGGCCTGATAGCTCAATCTTTGTCTCATCCGAACATACAACTTCACTCGATTTTATTGTGAAGGCCCCGGCTTAGGTCATATCCGGATTAGCACGGTGAAATGTGTTTCGCTTCATCAAAGCATCATCGTGGCTCACTTCCAGCGGCTGCGGGTTGGAAACGCACACACGCATTTACACACCAAAAAGTCACAATAAAAAGTGTATTTACATAGCAAATAGTGCTGATTGCGCATTTTCATAAAAATTATAAAAGTGATGATTTATAAATTAGACTTATTTTTTCCCCTCATCTTTTGGGAAATGTCGCACCCTGCAGGAAACTCAGCCACACTCAACTGGGGAATGAAATAAAAATAAAGATATCTTAATAGATTGAGCTTTTTGTTTTACACTTACACGACCCTGAACGAATTGCGTATGATACAATATTTGGCTTTAAACATTTTTTTATAGATTGTTATATAATAGGAAAGTTGGTGGAATAACTCAAAAGTAAATAAAAACACATATTAATTAAACACGTGCAAATGGTCTACCACATTTACCGAGCAGTGGACTGATGTTTTATTTAATCTTGCTGGGCCATTTAGCTGATTAAAGTAGTAGTCATGGCATCCTGCTGCAAAGTGAGATCAGCATCTCCATAAAGCTCGTCAGAAGAAGGAAACATACAGTCATGGTAAAGGGCTGCTATGACTTTTTACACCAGTAGATGGCATGACTCCAAACCTCAACAATAACTAAACTCCCGAACCTAAGATATCTTTGGACCAAATTATTTGCTGCTTGACTTCTTTGTTTTGTTGCAAATGGCATTAACTTTGGACCGCTTATGTATTTTGAGGTGGTATTTTTTATTTTTTAAGGATTTGTTTTCCTTCAGTTTAGTATTTTAGGCTAAACACACTGTGTTGTCTCGGTATTTGCTGTGCAACCATCATTCACAACCCTGCTTTAAAGTATGTACTACCATTATAAGTTTTCACTTTTGTTACAATTAAAACGGAATGATTACTGCTTCCCACTTTAGACACAAACTACTCTTTTTTATTTATTAGAAATCTGGCACAAACTTTAGCAGTTTGTTTGTTTGTTCTTTCAAAAAGCACATAAGTAATATACATTACTAAAACATGGTATAATATAAGGGTCTGTGATGAAACTCCTTTGTCTGTCATAGCAGTTTGTTATGGAAGGAGCTCCAGTTCTCCATCAGCTTCCCACAACAGCTGTGTGGGATAGGAGACATTGCCCAACAATGATGTTATTTTAACCAAGCAAGTGTGTAGTCATACATAATATTTTATGTCTTTCTCATATTAAATATACATACAAAAAAAGATTATGTTATATAAGAACAAACACACAGAATTCTGCGAACCCTTATATTTTTTAGCAATGCCTTTTTTGGCAACACCCGCCTTGTGGCTGCCTGTTGGTCGTCTGTTATTCAACAGCCTTTTCTGTGATTATGTAGGTCATAACATGGCTCCAGCACAACATAACAGTATATAAAAAAATGTCATTGTTCTGATGTTATAATCTAATATTTTTTGACAGAGTGAACTGCAGGTTTTTTCATCTGTAAGCTGTACTAATCGAAATGGCCAGAAATATATCAAAATAAATATAACTACTCAGTATGCAGATATTCCATGCAGTATCGATTTATTTTTAATTAACTCACTGAAATTAATCTATATAATAATAATAATAATAATAATAATAATAATAATAATAATAATAATAATAATAATATAACCATGCACACACAATTTTACAATTGTCTTGTAGTAACGTTAGTAGGACGATAGAGGGCAGCATCAACCCTTCTAGGAATCATAATCGTTCCGTGCTCGACTTTTGAAGGATTAATAATCAACTGTCGACCAGCCAGTTCGCCGTCGCAAGGATGTCAGACTCGAAGCAAAATATTGCACCTAAAAGGTATTTATATGAACTGATTTTATCTACGCATAAGTGCTTATATACAGCGACTAATTTGATGATAATTTATGTCTGGGGAAAAAATATATATATATTAAATCATATAAATTCACAAATGATTCGCGGAACCTTTATTGTAAGGATGTAACGGTGATGTATTTCTCTTTAGAGTTGTGTTTACCGACCACATTGATGGCTTATTAGATTTTCTTTTCTTGTACGAACTGTGTTTTAGTGCTAAAATAGCAGCTGGGGCTGTTGTGTGCGTCGAGAGTGAAATAAGAGGAGATGTTACCATTGGTGAGCCTTTTTATTTTGACACATTGTTTCGTGTGTACTCCAATCATCACAGTTGTACCAAAATGTATTTTTTTTTGCTCTCTCAGGAGCTAGAACAGTCGTCCACCCAAAAGCTCGGATCATAGCCGAGGCAGGGCCTATTATAATTGGGGAGGGTAATCTAATAGAGGAGCAGGCTCTTATCATTAACAGGTAGGTGTATATGTGTGTGAATGTGTTTTAAATTTTAATCTTTAATTCCTTCAAGGGTTTTAATCTGTGTTGTCTCCGTAGTTATCCTGAGAATATAATGCCAGACTCGGAGGGAGTTGAGCCTAAAACGATGATCATTGGGACCAATAATGTGTTTGAAGTGGGTTGCGGTATCCTTTACACTTCCTGTATTGCTAATCTTTAATGAATATATCACGCATATGTTAGTGACCCAATTAATTGTGCAGTAATAACCCCAAAAAAAAGCCTTTTCAGCTGCTGCAAATAAAGAAATAGTCCACCAGGGGTCTCCAGAGAGCAAACAAGTGTATATTTGTTTATGTGTCCTTTTTGAAATCCTTCACTCTGTCTCAGTATCCCAGGCTTTGAAAATTGGAGATAACAATGTGATTGAGTCCAAGGGTGAGTATTGTGTTCATATTGTTTTGTCAAGGCCTGCAAATCAACCGTAGCTAAAACTCATCCAGTGCTTTGAAGAGGATTCACATCCCTTTAGACCTCTTCACATTTTGTTACTCTACGACAAATGTCATAGTTTCAGGTGATAGATCAACACAAAGCAGTGCAGTGTTGTGAAGCGGAAAAAAAAAAATTACATTTAGCATCAAATCTAAATCTGCGGTATGCATTTAAAGCCTCTTCTATTAGGCAACAGTAAATAAAACTTGGCCTTTTTGCAAGGGAGAAAAGAAGAAGGACAAGAAAGCTCCCCTGTGCTGTTTGGTCCATGCCTTGTAAGAGATACAGCAAATATAGAGAAGAAGGGCAGTTGTCCAAGATTGAACTTTTTAGGCCGTTCCAAATTTGAGTCTGTAGCTTAGCAGCTACAAAAGTTGCTCAATAACAGACATGCGAGTTCCCTCTGGAATGTGATGGTGTAAAAAAAAAAAAAGAAAAACAAACCCTGACAGATACAGAGAAGAAAAACAATTTACTATAAAATATTTGACAGGATGCTTGAATAGACATGACGTTTGTGTAGGAAGGTAAAAAATGTGTGTGCATAAATTCTGCAAATTTAAGTTTTAAGCTGCTTCCTTCGTTCATTCTATTTGCTTCCAAGACTTACCTGTTCTCTTTCAACATTTTTCTTTCTTTTTTTTTTTTGCCACATATTTAATGTCCGGCACTCATTAGTGATCATGAGCGGGACCGTCCTAAATAAATCACACACAGAACATAAAGATTATCTGAAAGTTATGTCTTGAAGAGAATCCTGTAAAAACCTGACACTATACTTGGCCGCTTTAAAACACTATAAAAAAAAAAATCTCAAGACACAGTTCCACACATTTAATTAGCCAGTACAGCAAAATTTTAATTATAATAAATGGACGAGACTAATTATCTTGCTTTCTATTGCTTCTCTGGAGACGCTTTTTCCATTTTTTTGTTATTTAATCACAGCTGATGTGGGGAGAAACGTGATACTGACCAGCGGCTGCATCGTCGGCGCGTGCTGCCAGGTGAACACGTGCGAAGTCGTGCCCGAGAACACGGTAGTTTACGGCTCAAGCTGCATCAGGCGCGTGCAGAGCGAAAAGCCGCAGGTCTGTACCCCTTCAGTTTCAGGCAGAGGAAGGCCTTGTTGGCTTTGCCCTGAAAACAGTAATCGTTTCATTTTACAGCCACAGACCCTACAGCTCGACTTCCTCATGAAGATCCTTC